ACTTTCGTACATTTCTAGCACTTTTGAAGACTATTTACATATATTCAAGACCCATATCAACCCCCACCAAAAGAGCGTATCTGTCCCTTTAACATACACAGCCTGTAGCACACAGGCTTGAAACTGGGTTGAAAAATCTGAAGGTATTATCTAGACCTATGCTAGGATTGAACCCTGGACCTTTAGGTTAGTGAGCAAGCATCAGATTCACTGACAGGGGGAAACCAGGTTGAAAAATCTGAAGGTATTATCTCGACCTATGCCAGGATTGAACCCTGGACCTTCAGGTTAGCGAGCAAGCGTGTAACTCACTGACAGGGGGAAACCGGGTTGAAAAATATGAAGGTATTATCTTGACCTATGCCGGGATTGAATCCTGGACCTTCAGGTTAGTGAGCAAGCGTGTAACTCACTGACAGGGGGAAACCGGGTTGAAAAATATGAAGGTATTATCTCGACCTATGCCAGGATTGAACCGTGGCCCTTCAGGTTAGTGAGCAAGCGTTTAACTCACTGACAGGGGGAAACAGGGTTGAAAAATCTGAAGGTATTATCTTGACCTATGCCAGGATTGAACCCTGGATCTTCACGTTAGCGAGCAAGCGTGTAACTCACTGACAGGGGGAAACTGAGTTGAAATGTTCTTATTTTAGTATGAAGACTTGAGAAGTATTATAAAACATAAGAATTATGGTCTAACAGAATTAAATATTAAACTTAAAACACTACACGTCCCTGTAGCAGCTTTCTCTATGTTGGTGAGTCTTACAATTTTACAGATGAGCAAAAATTTGATTGTTAAAGAGATTATAAAAAATTTGTATGTGTATCAGGGACACTGATAGCATCAATTTACACCATTCTAATTTTCAATCAGATGTCTGTGGTTCTTGTTAAAGAGATTGTAAAAAGGTTTTCTATATTTTGTATGTGTATCAGGGACACTGATAGCATCAATTTACACCATTCTAATTTTCAATCAGATGTCTGTGGTTCTTGTTAAAGAGATTGTAAAGAGGTTTTCTATATTTTGTATGTGTATCAGGGACACTGATAGCATCAATTTACACCATTCTAATTTTCAATCAGACGTCTGTGGTTCCTGCAATTCCACTAAAACTAAGCGTTTTATAACGTCACTATTGCAAAAACCTTTTTTGAACTTCTAAAGGTCATTCTATTTCAGTTAGGACCGGTTGTTCGAGACTACAAAGATTTACTATTTTTAGCAGTAGACTACAACAAACCAGACATTGTAAAGAGACTGGTAGATCTAGGCACTGACTTAACGCGGAGAGAAAAGGTATGTTATTTTAAACAGAATTAAGCTGCGATTACATGTGCTCGTTAGCCAAACTCAAATTCAAGCTAAACTCAAAGCTTAAACTCAAAGCTTAAACTCAAAGCTTAAACTCAAAGCTTAAAGTTCAAGCTCCAGCTTATAGCTCAAACTCAATCTCGAGCTGAAATTAAACTCAAACTCGAGCTCAAAGCTCAAAGCTCAAACTCAAAACTCAATCTCAAAGCTTAAAGTATTAGTTCCAACTTAAATCTCTAACACAATCTCGAACTCACGCTGAAATTATACTCAAACTCGAGTGAAAGCTTAAAGCTTAAATTAAACATAAGCTTAAGCTCAAAGCCCAAACTAAACTCAAACTCTAATCTCAAACTCTAAGCTCAAACTTAAACTAAAGCTCAAAGCTGAAGCTTAAACTCAAGCTTAAACTCAAAGCTCAAGCTCAAAGCTCATTAAAAATCGTATGAGAGCAAATCCTATCCAAATCCTTAGCAAATCCAATTTTCAGCTTTCATGTGTCAAACTCAACACCTCCGTAAGCGTAAAACATGGCTCAGTGAGTGATTTTTTGAGTTTGCAGACGGCAAGTTCAAAATGAGGCAATCCCAACTATGACATCATCACCATAAATTCTAATTTCTTGCAGTATCTAGTGAAAAATAACGAACAAGATGGAAATTCAGAAAGAGTTGAGAAATGGATGACGGCTAGTGAGAGGGCAGAATATCTTAATCTGAATGATATACATAACCAATTGGACTACAGCCTCACCCATCAACAAATAGGATTAACGACGTCTCTTGACTCCAGACATTATGGTCAGATTATTGGTAAACTGTCGTCAAAAATACACCAAATACAAACAACTGGAGATAATCTTATTTTATAGTTGTGAGATTCAAATTTTCTGTTAAAAATAGCCCCTGATGAAGCAGATCATGTTTACTCTTTTCCAAACACCTGATGGTACTTGTCTTTTGAGGAGTCCACTACTATACAACTTTTACTCTCGATTTTCTCATACTTTGGACGAGATTTTGATTAACAGAATTGTCTTGCTTGTACAGGTGTCGTGTGCAAAGCAGACCATGCTTACTCTTTTTGAAACACCTGATGGTACTTCTCTTTTGCCATTCTGATTTTGATTGACGGACTTGTTTTGCAGAGATTTTTATGTTTGTGATAACTGTATTTATTTGTTACATTAAAGGGACAGATGCGCCATTTTGGGTGTTGATTTAAGTCTTGAATATATGTAAATAGTTTTCAGAAGTACTAGAAATGTACAAAAATCACATAATTCCTTCAAAAATACAACAATACACTATACATGGTCCTTGGCTTGGTTGATTTCAGTCTTAAATATATGTAAATAGTCTTCAGAAATACTAGAAATGTACCAAAATCACATAATTCCTTTAAAAATACAACAATACACTATACATGGTCCTTGGCTTGGTTGATTTGAGTCTTGAATATATGTAAATAGTCTTCAGAAATACTAGAAATGTACAAAAATCACATAATTCCTTCAAAAATATCTCAAACTAGGAATTTCTTTTCCTATTTCTATAGATGTCTTTTGTATATATCACAGAGTATCTTAAATTGACGAGTTGTCATTTTAACTTTCAAACGTAGATAATTCTAGACACACATGGATTTGAAGGTTCAAATTTCGACAGTGAACTGTGAACACTATTACTGATTGGCTTAGCTAAAAAATTCCTGTTTCTGAAACTAAAGTATGATTGATATGAAATTAACATACAGCTTGTCAAATTTCAAGATGTTCCTGATTGGTCAAAAAAATGGTGGAGCTGTTCCTTTAAAATAGGATTTGTTCCTTTAAAATAGGATTTGTTTACTACCAAATTGTTATTTCTTATTTATGACCTAATATACTGATCTATTCATTATGTTTTTACCATAAAGCTCATTGTAGAAAATAAACTTAAAGAGATTGTAAAAAGGTTTTCTTAATTTTTTATGTGTATCAGAGACAGTGATAGCATCAATTTACATCATTCTAATTTTCAATCAGACTTCTGTGGTTCTTGTTAAAGAGATTGTAAAGAGGTTTTCTTAATTTTGTATGTGTATCAGAGACACTGATAGCATCAATTTACATCATTCTAATTTTCAATCAGACTTCTGTGGTTCTTGTTAAAGAGATTGTAAAGAGGTTTTCTAAAAAATTTAGATGCTATCAGTGTCCCTGATACACATAAAAAATTTAGAAAACCTTTTTACAATCTCTTTAAGTTTTTACCAGTTCCAGTTGAATAATTCATGATTTAGTTTGTATACAGTTTATTGAATTCATCTTCACAATGTCAAGCTATTACGAACTTTGTACTTATACCTTGACTGCAATAGCCACCTTTTTTGTATCTTCACAATGTCAAGCTATTACAAACTCCATCTTCACAATGTCGTCTGTAATAGCTTGACATTGTGAAGATGAAGTTTGTAATAGCTTGACATTGTGAAGATGAAGTTAGTAATAGCTTGACATTGTGAAGATGAAGTTTGTAATAGCTTGACATTGTGAAGATGAAGTTTGTAGCTTGACATTGTGAAGATGAAGTTTGTAATAGCTTGACATTATAAAGATGTAGTTTGTAATAGCTTGACATTGTGAAGATGAAGTTTGTAATAGCTTGACATTGTGAAGGTGAAGTTTGTAATAGCTTGACATTGTGAAGATGAAGTTGGTAATAGCTTGACATTGTGAAGATGAAGTTTGTAATAGCTTGACATTGTGAAGATGAAGTTTGTAATAGCTTGACATTGTGAAGATGAAGTTTGTAATAGCTTGACATTGTGAAGATGAAGTTTGTAATAGCTTGACATTGTGAAGATGTAGTTTGTAATAGCTTGACATTGTGAAAATGAAGTTTGTAATAGCTTGACATTGTGAAGATGTAGTTTGTAATAGCTTGACATTGTGAAGATGAAGTTAGTAATAGCTTGACATTGTGAAGAAAGGTGACTATTGTAGTCAAGGTATAAGATGAAGTTCGAAATACCTTGACGTTGTGAAGATGATTATATTTGTTGTATATCTTGAACGAAGTCATTATTAAGTTCTCATTTAACAACAAAATGGATATGCAAGACTTAGAAAATGTGGAATTTGGAGCCTCTTTGAAAAAACAGGAATTTCTCTTGAAAGAAAAATGTGTTCATCTGAATCATGGCTCGTACGGAACGGTGCCACGACGGGTCTACGAATACAGATTGACTATTCTAAAAGAACAGGAAGAGAATCCTGATTTTTGGTATCGGAAAATTATTCAAAAATATTGGAACGATTCCAAGGCAGCGTTGTGTAAATTTGTCAATGTCAAGCACACTGATTGTATGGTTTTTGTAGAAAATGCTACGACTGGCACCAGTGCAGTTTTAAAGAGTCTGAAATTCCTGAAAGGGGACATAATTCTAGGCACCAACTTGACCTACCAAGGTGTGAAAAATTTGGTTCAATATGTAGGAGAAACTAGAGAGGGAGTCGAATCCAGATTTCTAGAAATAACGCTACCAATAAAAACGAAAGATGACATCATCAATTTGTATCGTGATTATTTGAAAAATAACAAAAACGTGAAAATTGCTGTCATTGACTATATAACCAGTCCGAGCGCCATTTTGATGCCAGTGAAAGAAATTATCGAAGTTTGTCGTCAACATGGAGTTTTAACGTTAATAGATGGCGCTCACTCACCAGGACAAATTGAGCTGAATTTGGACGAATTAGGAGCTGATTTTTTCGTCGGAAATTTACACAAATGGCTGTTTGCTCCACGCGGCTGCGCTATTTTATACGTAGCAAAACAACACACAGATAAAATACACGTCTTAAATTCATCATGGCATCTTTACGAAGGTTTGAACGCAGAATTTATCAACAACGGAACCAGAGACCATACTCCATTCTTTTGTGCCCAGGCTAGTTTGAATTTCTTTGAAAGTATCGGTGGTTTTGAAAAGGTTTACGGGTATAATAAGAAGCTGATTCGAGAGGGAAGTGACTATCTGATGAAGTTATGGGGAACAGACAAGCAAGATATACCAGAAACCATGGAAGCTCCGTTTATGATCAACGTTCAACTTCCTCGACTCAAAGGTGTCATCAATACGAGCGAATCGCTTCTTAAATTAAAGGTTCATT